GCGAGGACCGCTAAATATATCCTGTCCATAATAGATACACACACAGGGCAGGCATGTCCATAAGGCGGCACAGACGGACGGCCGCCTTAGGGCGCCATGACAGGGGGTGCAAAAATCTAAATCTCTGACACCTGGCCACAAACTTGGATTTTTAAATATTTCTGACCGAACATCGATAGCATCGATAGCACATCGATAGCACAACTATGCACACAGCACCAGTACCTCACAACTCACACACTGCCAGTGTTTGGAACAGCAGAGCTGCTGCCATGACACACTATTGAATCCTGGATGCTGCAGGACCTCCCTAAGGCATTGTAACAGCCCTGTAGCAGTTTAATTGACTGCTGTCTGCAAAGCCCCACCACCTTGCCCTCAATCATCCATCCCATTACATGGCATGGTACCAAGTGTTATCAGACACAAGGGAGTGGGAAACATGCTTCCACTCTGAAGGTTGGCTCCAGCTCCCACGGGTAGGAGCTGCCACAACATAATACTTGTTACAATGAGGAGTGCTATAGGGCAGAAAAGAATAATTCAGTAACGTGACCTCAGTGTGCATTGTGTGCTGAGGAGCAACAAGGACTGAGGGTGGACCATCTATGTTGTGTCTCCTTGAGTGACTGTGAGTGGGTTTCTGGGTCTGTGAATGTGAGTGGGTTTCTAGGTGTGTGAATGTGAGTGGGTGTCTGAGTCTGTGAGTGGGTATCTTGGTGTGTGACTGGGTATCTGGGTCTGTGAATGTGAGTGGGTATCTTGGTGTGTGACTGGGTATCTGGGTCTGTGAATGTGAGTGGGTATCTGGGTTGGCGACTGTGAGTGGGTATCTGGGTCTGTGACTGTGAGTGGGTATCTGTATCTGTAACTGTGAGTGGGTATCTGGGTCTGTGAATGTGAGTGGATTTCTGGGTGTGTGAATGTGAGTGGCAGTTAGCAAGGCCCCCGCGCACAGTAAGCTCCGCCTCCGCCGCAGCGAATCCCCGCCCCCGCCGCACGCTAAGCCCCGTCCCCACCAGCTCCGCCCCCGCTGCATTTTTTTTAATTATTATTTTCTTTTAATGATCCCGGCCGGCCATGTGTGAGCTGTGCCGGCCACCGGGTTCCCACTACTCCCATGGGGCTGCACATGGCCGGCCGGGATCACAGGAGCCTGAGCAATGATTAGGGCTGTCAGCCCAGCCCCAGGTGCCGCGGCCCACTGGGAAATTTCCCGGTATCCCGGTGGGCAAGTCCGGCCCTGTCTATAGGTGTATATCTGTGAGTGTGTAAGTATCACTGTGAATGTGTATATGTGTATGAGAATATTACTGATTGTAATTTTATTTGAGTGCAAGAATATAATTGTTATTTATATGTCTATGAATTTATGACCCTGTGTGACTGAGGTCAGTGTGTGAATGACTGTGTGCCCCTATCTGTGAATGTTGTTTGACTCACTTTGTAAGTGTGTAGGGCAGAAGTACCCGAAAAACCCTTTAAAAGGGTGCACATAGGGAACATGCAAGGGGTTAATTGACGTAATTGCTATGGGAAGCTATGTCATGATGTGAATTGAGGAGAAAGGGGTACATTGCAGAGATATAATAGTTTTAGAGGGTTTAATTGCAAAAAAGTGAGGACTTCCAATTTTTGGGAGGCTGGGGTAAAATGCAGGCCTATGTGAGGACTAATATTGCTTAGGGAGGGGGTTAATTTTCAGGAGGTTGCCATTGAGCTAAGCCCAGCCATGTAGGATCTCGCTCATTGGTTAAAAGCTTCAGATGAGCGCTGTTAGTAAATGAGCGTGGCAAGCAAGCTGATGCGCGACTGAGCATAGGTCAGCGACACTAAACATAGCTTCTTGTAGGAGTTTCCACCAGCAGAGAAGTAGGATGCCTATAAGTACCCAGGAAACCAGTGTGTGTGTGGGGCAAAATTAGTTTTTGCCTGTGCAGCCAAAAACCCTTGCACCGGCCTTCTGTGCCGCTGTGACGGCTTTAAAGCCCAATTAATACGGGACGGCATAGAACGCCGTAACGGCGTTAAGGTGTTAAGAAACCAATCCCTTAATTAAATCAAGCTGAAAATATGTGCCATGTTGAACCAGTACAAGGAAGAACATGTGTTCAAAGTGCTTGACTGTATATTTATTTATATATATTTGTTCATTTATTTAAAAGGAATTTAAACCAATGGCTATTTTTATTGCCTTTTTACACAGATGAAAGAAAGCAAAAAGTTTGAAATGCATGCTCTGCTTTATGTCTCCCAGATCTTGTTTATAGACCTTTCAAGTAGGGCTTTATAAAAGATCCACTTTTAGTGCTTCAGGACACACATACAGATATAGACAGTGACACACATACAGATACATAGGGGCACACACTGACACACATGCAAACAGATACACATACAAACATACAGATACCCATACATGCATACCGATACACATACAGATTCACATGCAGACAGATTTAGACAAAGATACACATACAAACACACATGCAGACACACACAGAAACAGAAATTCACACGCATTCTCACACACACACATACAGATACAGACAGACATTTACACACACACATAGATACAGACAGGCCCGATGGGCCCCTTCAATGCAGCCCCGGCGGTTGTTCCATGTGGCCGGGGCCGCACCACAATCTCGGCGGACACATTCATACACAGATACAGACAGAAATTCACACACACACACACACACAGATACAGACATTCAAACACACATTCACGCACACACAGTGATGGGAGTGAGCGCAGGACTTCTCTTTTTGTATCTGTATTTACTTTGTATCACACAGCCTTGTTACAATGCTGCCGCCCATCCCATGTGTTCCCTATTAAGGGTTAATAAGTACATAGGGGTGTATATAAAAAATACCCCTCTCTGTCTCATTAGAGATATCTTTGCCAGAAGCTCAAGGAAGCAGGCTGAAGGGTTAGTGTTAGGACCCGCTTAGGGGGGTCTGCCTTGACGTTGGCAGGCGGGCATTCCCTCCAATGGCCATTGGAGCAATTAAATGACCTCCATTTGTCTAAATATACATAGGGATTAAGGAGAGAGCGCAGGTAACTTTTTTTCTTTTCTTTGGTTTTTACTATATATTGGGGCTGATGTGTACTGTAGTCATTGCACAGGACTTCTCTTTTTGTATTTGTATTTACACTAAAAACAGCCTGCTCCACACACACATACATACCTCTCAACATTTCAGATAGACAAAGAGGGACATTTTAATTTTAATAGTTTGGCTTGGGGTATGAGGAGGGAGGGGGGATGGCAGGGTGGAGCTGTTCTGGAAATTTTAAGTGACTTACTAGTAACAGTTTATTAACTAAAATTTAGAACAAGAACAAATTATCTTAATTACACAGACTGATTTCTAAACACATTTATTGTAGTTTAAAGACATATTATTTGCGTATCATTACTATGGAACTCTGCTATACACACATAGGGCCGGCGCTACCTGTAAAGCGACCTAGGCAGCTGCCTAGGGCGCACCTTGACAGGGGGCGCCGGATCCCTGCGCCCGGCGGCTCCTCATGCTGCGCCGCCTGAGCGCTTTAGCAATCCTCAGGCGGCGCAGCACTGCTGTCGAGGGCGGCCGGATTTGAGTGACCAGCAGGAGGGAAGCGCAGAGCGCTCCCTCCTGCCGGTGCCATCAAGTATCGGTGAGTGAACGCTGGAGGCCGGGCGCTCGAAGGGAAGCGCTCACCAGTGAGCACTTCCCTCCGGGGACCGGGCGCAGTCGGGTACAGGAAACAGAGGTCTCCTGTCCCGCCCGCCTCGCCCGGGCACGTGCCAAGCACAGACAGGTGGAGGGGGTGAGTAAGGAGGGGAGGGAAACAAGGACCACCAGGGGAGGGGGTATGAGTAAGGACCACCAGGAGGGGAGGGGCTGTGAGTAAGGACCACCAGGGATGGGGTAAGGGATGAACACCCAGGGAAGGGAGGGGGAGTAAGGAACACAGGGGGAGGGGAGGAGGGTAAGGACCACCAGGGGGGAGGGTGAGTAAGGACCAGGGGGTAGAGGGAGTAAGGAACACCAGGGGAGGTTGAGTAAGGACCAGAGGGGGAGTAAGGAACACAGGGGGTGGGGAGTAAGGAACACAGGGGAAGAGGGTGCGCGACCCACCAGGAGAGGGGAGGGGTGAGTACGACCCCAGGGGAGGGGGAGTAAGTGGAACACCAGGGAAGGGGAGGGTTAGTAAGGACCAAAGGGGAGTAAGGAACACAGGGGGAGGGGGAGGGTAAGGACCACCAGGGGAGGGTGGGAGGGTGAGTAAGGACCACGGGGGGAGGGCAGGAGGGTGAGTAAGGACCAGGGGGGGAGGGGGAGTAAGGACCAGAGGTGGAGGGGAGGGGGAGTAAGGACCAAAGGGGAGTAAGGACCACTACCCCACAAACCCTCTCTTTTACACTACACACATACACAATGCATCCCCCCCACACACACAGAAACATACAATGCATTCCTACTCAGACACACCCGAAACACACAATGCATCCCTTACGTTCACACAAACACTCATTCTCTTACACACAGTAAACAAAATGCATCTCTTACACAATCAATGCACCCCTTACAGACACACACACACACACACACAGAAACATACAATGCATTCCTTACACGCAAACACACACTGCATCCCCTATAAACACACTACATCCCTTACAGAAATTGGTATCCCTATACACTACATTCTATAAGAACACACACACATTGCATCCTCTACAATAACACATAAAACATCCCCTACACACATACACTCCACTTCCTGTGAGAGAACTCACGGGTGGGCCATGTAGCTGGATTTATGGGTGGGCATTGTAGGCATACTCACGGTCAAGCCCTGGGGGCCCAGATCCTGAGCTGTGTAAGGGGCCCTAAAACATGGAGCTGCTTCCTGTTCATTAATTGTTGTGAGCACTGTTAAAAACAGTCTCCTGAGAGCCTCTTCTACACCAGACCTGTGGAGCCAGACAGAGCCCATCATCAGCCTCTTGTCCTCATCTGGTGGTAAGTAGGCAATCCAATATATTATTAGTGGCACTAATCTCTAATTTACCTCACATTAAATGGATACTATAGTCACTAGAAGCACTACAACTTAATGTAGTGGTTCTGGTGTCTATAGCCTGTGCCTGTAGGCTTTTTAATGTAAGCACACTGTCTTTTCAGATAAAAGACACTTTGTGAAGACTGGCGTTGGCCCATGTGGCAGAGCATATGGGCGGGGCATTGTGATGTCACATGGTGGGCAGGACATATGGGGGGGTCGGCAAATAGGGCCTAGGGCGGCAAAAATCCTTGCACCGGCCCTGTACACACATACATACCAACAATATGGAGCTCAATCAAAAGAGGGACATTAGGATAGAAAAGGAGAACCAATGGGAATTGTGACCAAAATAGGAACTGTCCTACCTAATATGGACAGTTGGTAGGTATACATATACGCACATTACCAAAACTGTCCAAACATGAAAAAAACATGTCAACACAAAAATACACACTAAATTCAAAAAAGCCCCTACACACAGTCTCTAAAAGAAACCACCCACTCACATGCAACATGAAAAGCAGGTTTCTCACACATATAAAAAAACAACAACATCCCTGTCCCATTTTGTGGGAATTTCCCCCATGTAAGAGTGCGAGAATGTTCTAGAAGGTTATGAAACTGATGGGCCAGGTTTGGGAGTGTCATTGATGATGACACAGCTTGCTTCCATACTGGCCACAACCAGCTCCATTATTAAGTGCCTGAACCAAGTTTGTATACCAACTTAGCTCTGCCTGCCCCTCTACTCTGTTGTTTGCACTCACAACCTACAGCTCTCACCTACACAACCTTGCTAGTTTGGTACCATTCTTTAAACTCCTTTCTTAACTCACCAAACATTCACTGAATCTCATTTAAGAAATACTTAAAAATATACTTCTTTAAGAAGGCAAAGCAAATAACCAGCCTCGCCGCCCCACTCTATTCTCCCTTAAATAAATATAATTTTAAAAAAATATTCTAAAACTGAAAATACACCTTGCATTACATTTTAAGCTCTTATAGAATGCATAACACCATTTATTTTTGTATAATAATACTTTGCAAGCTCATTTGTTTCTGTATATTCCTTGACCTTGTCTTCTTGCAATTACTTGCATACTCGTTTTACAGGGTTGCGGAAATGTGCTTTAGTAATAATAACGAGGGTACTTGCCATCTTTTATTTGTGGTTGCCTATTTTTCTAAGATAAAGCATCAGATGTGGAAATCTTTTTGTTCATCCAAACACTTGTCTAAATACAATAAATATTGCAATATGTGTTACATTACTTGAAGCTTTGCATCCAAGACAACTTTTTAATAAATCATTGTTATGTGCAGAAGACATGAGTGTAGTGTTTGGCAGATAAATCATTTACAAAGGTAAAGAATAATCCTTAATTTATGTGGCATATTGGCCATGATTGAATGATATGTGGTACAAGGTAAAAAAAAAAAAATACTAGGTGGTTTGATGCAGTAAAAAAGCCCAAGTATTATTAAACTGATAATGGAATTACATTGGACCCATGCTGCTGTGTTCCGTTATAGGAGAAAGATTTGAATGTCATTGTGTGCTTGGAGTTCGATTGTACATCTAAAAGTATACTGTCAGGCCTCAAAAATACACGTTAAGAGTTCTAGTTTCCTGCATATAAAAATGTATATATGTTTGCAAATAAACACACGAACAAGTTAATGCAAGAAAAGCTAAAGTAACCTCTGTTAATTGAACTGGTTTATATATTTCTCTTGTATTGTCAGTCCGAAGACCTATGGGGAAATACATCACAAAAGGATCCATAGCAATAAATTTGCTTAATTGGAGTTGGAAAATAACCTATACAGTCCCAGATAGTGCTTTGCAATGCTGTAACATTCTCATCTCTGTGATAAATACATCATTGGCAAAATTATTCTTCAAACATCTTTTACTTATTTACTAAGATTTGCTGCACTTCGCACTTAGGAGAGAACATGTAAATTAAAGGAACACTCCAAGAGCTCTTTTTTTGTTGTTGATAATCTTTCATTTATTGAGATGGAAGTAAGAGACAGGAAAATGATAGCATGATATCATAAATTTTCCATTATGGCAAAAATGGTGAACATACATTGCATAACATAGGAGATTCTGAATGAAAAAGTCTAGACATGAGAGACAAATCAAACAGTCAGACTGAGAAGAGCTGCTACAAAATGTATTTATAGGTTAGGCTTTGCATTGAATAACCAATTAGTTAGAAGTAGGATTAGATTAACTTGCATAGAAGAACAACTCAGTGCCTAGAGAGGTGAACAGGATAAGTAAACTACTGGAACTCCACTCATAATCATGGTACTGCACTACACAAAATAACCTATATGTGAACTCTATAGTACATTATTACACTGCACAAATTAAGTAAGACAAAAAGGATGAAATAGCATCAGTAAGTGAGAAATTCTCATCAGGTATCCAGGATATGTCTTGGTAGAACTGGTGCTTAGCTCTGGAAGGATAGCTCTTGATCAACTACATTTGTAGGTAGCTGAGAAGCTTTGCAAGACATGGGTGAAACATGGCAGTCCACCGGCCCCAGGTTGTAGTGAGGGCCTGCCTCTTGGTACCACGGACTTGGGGTATGGCAAAAGCTCTGGGTAGGGTCTTTTGCCTTTGTGGTCAATGCTGCAAGCCTTGGACCCCATCGTCTCTCACCCTAGGCGGGCTAGAGATATGAGACATTGTCACTTTTGGAAGGGTAGGCCCAGAGGGGCCGCAAGCACCCCATGCCTTGCTCCTTCCACTCTGCCCTTCCTAGCTCCGAGCCAGTGCAGATACAGCAAAAGCCTCCAACTTTGCCCAAAATCTCATCAAGGTGCTTCAGCATCTGCTCTACAAAGCCATCCTGGGCCTTCACAGACTGTCAGCTCATGCTCAGGCGCGTCCACCATCTTAAAGCAATCTGCTACAGATGGGACCTGTTCAGTGCAGGTACATGAAGCCAGCGAAGGTACATGGAGTTAACAAGTGGTAAGCAGGATAATCCCAAGTAGTCCAAAGGGGGTAGGGAGGCAGCTATAAACAGGTGCCACACCATCAGTCAAAGAACCTGGCGAGAAACCGCCTCTCCTCAGCTCTAATTATTGTAGGCCACAGACCTCGATTCCAGCAATCCAGTTATGGGGGACTCGTGTGAGGTATCACCAGATGCGTCGATGTCCCCTTGGTAAGAAGATTACCAAAACAGAGTTGCCCGAGTGTAGCCCCTGAATTTTGGTAAGAGGCGCAGAAGCTCTTGCTGAGCGCGTCTGGTCCTCTTGGCAGACAGGCTTTGTCCCCTTCCAAGAGCTCTTTGAGAATGTGGACTCTAGGTAAGTTCTTCAAATGGTTTGACCACTTACCATGTGAGGACACATGAACCGTTCTGGCATCATAACTACTAAAGTGGTCTGAAGTGCTGATGGTGCTTAGAATGTTCCTTTAACATGTCGGTATTTGCCAATATATCCATGATGCTCTATTATGGGACAAGAAAATATACAATTTTTTTCAATTCCTCAACTATGCTAAATAAAATAATTTTTGAGACTGGACAGTATTATTATTATTATGTTATTATTTATATAGCACCAACAAATTCCGCAGTGATTTACAGTGGGTGGACGAACAGACATGTAGTTGTAACCAGACAAGTTGGACACACAGGAACAGAGGGGTTAAGGGCCTTGCTCAATGAGCTTACATGCTAGAGTGGCATAGAGTGACATAAAAGGTAAGGATAGTATTAGACTAATGACAGTTGCAAGAGAGGAATCAGTCGGGAGCTTTTAACAGTTTAATTAATACGCTTTTATGAAAAAGTGTGTTTTTAATGATTTTTTGAAGGAGTGGAGACTGTGTGAGCATCTAATGGAGGAGGGAAGTGAGTTCCACAGGAACGGTACAGCCCTGGAGAAGTCGTGAAGGCGAGCATCAGAGGTGGGAGTTAGGACAGAAGATAGAAGTAAGTCTTCAGCAGAGCGTAAGGGCCTAGACGGGACATACTTGTGTATTAGTGAGGATAGATAGGTGGGAGCAGCATTATGTAGAGAATTGAAAGCAAGAACCAGAATTTTATATTGAGCCCTATATCTTACAGGAAGCCACTGTAGGGACTGACAGAAGGGTTAGACGTGGGAGGTGCGGGCAGACAGGAAGATGAACCTCGCCGCAGAGTATGGATGAGATGCAAGGGAATTGGATCTAGGGAGCGGGAGGAGCGGGAGGACTGGCGCAAAGCAGTGAGAATGAACATAGAACAGCAGAGGGAGTGAGGTTAGGTGAAGTATTGTAAGGGGAAGAAGAAAGATGAGAGATCTCTTCCCGGATTCTAGAGATCTTGTCAGTGAAATGAGTTGCAAAGCCTGAGGCGGTCAAGTTAGTAGGTGGAGGAGGAACAATAGGCGAGGAAGAGAGATAAATGTGTGAAATAGTCGTTTGGGTTTGTGGGAGAGTGTGGGTACGAGGATATTAGAGTAATTTACTTTTGCAAAGGAAAGAGCCAAGCTGTATGAGTGCAGCATAAATTTATAGTGGAGAAAGTCGGACGCACAGTGAGAATTTCTCCAACAACGTTCAACAGTTCTGGAGCATTTTTCGAGGTATCAAGTCAGAGGTATCATGTAGTTGTAACCAGACAAGTTGGACACACAGGAACAGAGGGGTTAAGGGCCTTGCTCAATGAGCTTACATGCTAGAGTGGCATAGAGTGACATAAAAGGTAAGGATAGTATTAGACTAATGACAGTTGCAAGAGAGGAATCAGTCGGGAGCTTTTAACAGTTTAATTAATACGCTTTTATGAAAAAGTGTGTTTTTAATGATTTTTTGAAGGAGTGGAGACTGTGTGAGCATCTAATGGAGGAGGGAAGTGAGTTCCACAGGAACGGTACAGCCCTGGAGAAGTCGTGAAGGCGAGCATCAGAGGTGGGAGTTAGGACAGAAGATAGAAGTAAGTCTTCAGCAGAGCGTAAGGGCCTAGACGGGACATACTTGTGTATTAGTGAGGATAGATAGGTGGGAGCAGCATTATGTAGAGAATTGAAAGCAAGAACCAGAATTTTATATTGAGCCCTATATCTTACAGGAAGCCACTGTAGGGACTGACAGAAGGGTTAGACGTGGGAGGTGCGGGCAG